CGCAATAACTCGCTGATACATCTTGCAAGAAGAGAAATTTAAAATATATGACGCCCGATCTCTCTAGGGGCAAAAAATGTGAAAGGTGTATAACTCTGTAAACTGCATAAAGAAAATGAGACAATTAACGCGACAATCTGTTCAAATAATTCAAATTATCGTAAATTATGTTTTAATCGAGAAAACAAACGGTCGATAATTATATTCTTCCCGGATATACGTTATTTGTTGTAATTAAAAGAGTTATTGAAAAATTGACTCACGTACGAAGATATACAGATTGTAATAATATCAATATCTAGCAAATTTAATGTTCATTTTTCATAAAAATCCCAAATATACAATTTAGAGCAGTGCACTGAGAAAAAAACTTGAAAATTTGCTTGTGAGATATAAATGTTCAAGTATTCTTTTCTGTAAAATTAAAGATAAAAATTAAAGATAGAACGACAATGTGTCCTATACGCTGAGAAAAAATGTTTGCTATTTAAAATTATAATCACACAGAGAAATAATCGCTATAAATTATGATCAAGAAAACATTTTTTTAATTAAATCCTACTATAATGTTAGTGACGGTAATCTTATATGCATGTTGTTACTACTATTTTGCTATGAAAAATACGGTTTGAAATAATAGCTATTATTTTAGTTAGATCAACTATTTTTTCTCAGTGTTAATTGCAAATATCTCAATTTTCGAACAATCTTTTTTCTAATTTCGGAAGCAGTTAGATGATACTTCGATTGACGTGTAGTCTAAGTTACTGTGAAATACCTAGAATATCATTTCACGAGACAACTAGCTTAACATCTGCGTTCCTGACATGTGCTCAAACTTCGCTCTATCTCCGCGTTCCGTTAATTTCTACCATTTCCCATTTCGCCTGCTCATGCGATGACGATAGTAACGCGATATGATGACCGTTCCTATGGACATTTGCGTTCGCAGGCATCGGTGCACCGCAGTGAATATTTCGCGAAGGCTCGGCAGGCCTTAAGCGGAACGAAAGAACGAGCATTTAGCCCGGAGGAATGCGTGGCCTCCGACCCGGCTGTGTTCGCTTTGCCGGGCGAAACGCCGTGAAGCTGAAAATCCTCGGGTATCCGCACTTCGCTGCGTACGGTTTCGCGCGTCTATTCTTCCTCCGCTTTGCGGCTCGACGCTGCCGCCACAATATACGCGTATCCGGAGTTACAATAAACGGATGACGAGCAGCATCCCGCATATCTGATCTCGCGGCTACATTGGGCGGAAATTTATGCACTATATAAGGCGTATATGTGCTAAACCTGACGGTGGCACGCGTTACGCCATACCTAGCTCGTAACGAGACCGAACACATCAGCGTTCATGTGTTAACTTGTTGAGTAAACTTAAAGATTATCGACTGAAATGTCACATTCCGTCCAAGTTTCCTGTCCGACGTTCTGGAAAGGATATTCTGGCTTGAAAGATCGCAAAAGAAAAGATATTTACCCGGAATTTTTTATACAAAAAAGTTGAATAATGTCAAACTTTGCATATTCTTTTGATCTTTTCTAAACTAGAACAAATATTATATACATTTATTAGTTTTTTTTCTTTTAATAAAATACCAACAACACTTTAAAAAAAAATTAAAGTTATTTAATAAAAAGGCCGCCACATATTTTAGAATTAGTCTAGAATTGTAATATTAGTTTAATTCTAATTCAAACAATAGCCACTCTTCTCCTGAATAACATATAAAAGAAGAGTGTTTTTGTTACTTCAACAATATGTTGAAAAATATGTTTTTAAAATAAAGCTTAAGAAATAAAAACATGATGTTATTCGATTTTCTCATTCCTCTACAAAAAATTTCGGAAATATATCTTTTTTGCAACATTTCAAATCAATATATTATATCAATATATCTTTTAATGCGAAAACGAGAATCTTTTTTCTTGACATGATGCACTTCTTCGTTTAAAACTTAAGCGAACAAGATTCTGCTTATCGCATTGCATGATTATACAATATACCATCGCTTCTATAAAAATATAATTTTATTGCGCGATGTTTATCAGTTTTTGTTTTATTAAACGTGTTTGGAGATATTAAGCAGCTGTCTCATAATATTAATATTTCCAAACACTCGAGAAGATCCCGCGTCCTCATAAAAACTCATAATAACAAAAGAAACGTTGTAACGAGCCGTTAGGAAATAATTTAAAATCAATTGTCACGAAAGATTATAAAATTGCAAGTCAAAACAGACTAGAGACTATCTTTAGTTTCTTTGTCAGTCGCAAAAACGATCTCTGTCTAAATAACTGAGAGAGGCATAAAAAACTAATATCATCATATTACATTTCTTCGTGATCCTAATGAAAAAAAGATGAGATTGCTGCGTCTCTTAACGGTTATGTCGAGACATCTTAAAATTATAATAAGTTGCGCATTCGGAATATTTTTGAGAGATATTTCGACGAGCGACAGCGACGCTAACGATGCATAATAATCATTAAAAGAAACGTGTAAAACACGTTACAGAGCGGGAATCTCGAAATTATACACCCTTATTCCACCGTCTTTTACGTGGCTCTCTGCTGTCAAGGCGTATTGCAAATTTCTTGACGACGGTAAAGCAGGAAGTTTGCGAATATTCTGCCTTAACGGCGTAGAGTTTCACGCACCTATCCTTCCTGTATTCTACGGCACGACAGGACCGCTGTAAGCGTGTATCCGGCATTATAATAAACGGTTGATGGGCCTCATCGCTCGCAGCCGCAGTTGAATTGCGCGGGCTCATTCAACGGAAGCCGGGCATTATGTAAACTCACGTTTTGTAACCAATTTCTCTTGCGCGCTTAGTCGGCGCTCGCAAAAGCAAATATTAAACTCCCGCAAGTTGATGTTTAATTACTTCAAAATATATCTCCAGCATACTTGCCGCGTATGCACACGAAGTGTCTCGGCGTACGCGAAATTACCCATGTATATGCATATATATCTCGACAACTTAAAATTACTGTTTCAAACAATTCACGTCAATTTCATCTCGCCAAAAATCCTATGCGCGATCCTTTATTGTCGCTCCGTAATTTTAATATTAGGCGCGATTAAATCGCGTTTAAATTCTCAATTAGAGTCCCGAATTATGAAAGAGGCCGTTTGATATCGATTAAAGCGGTATATCCTCTTCACCGCGTCCTCTGTATTTAGTTTATAACGAGATCCTTGTGTTTACGTTGTCAATAATACGACGTGATTGCTAACGATTGCACGCTCGTTAAAACATATTCGGTTTCGAGGCGCTTTGTACGTGTAACAAATATTGATGAGTTTCTAATTCGCGTCGGATCTCAGGTTGATAAAGGGCATTCCACTACTACAATGTGCTGCGGGAGTCGTGTAACATTTATATTGCAGTAAAGACGCCATTGGGATCTCCCGAGAGAGTAAAACCCTTGCACCATCTCATGCGTTTAGATGACGAAAATAATTTCAAAGAATACAGGTCGAGTGGTGCCATGCATTGTCGTATGTGGTACGACAACGTATGAATATTATCAGGAACTTATCCTATAACTTTTAACGATAGTGTTATTATCGTTGCGTTGTCGTTGCGTAGATATAATATATTATAGAAAAGCTGCGCAACGATAATATAAGAACTCAGTCAACAATTACGTTACAAAATTTGAATGTTTCCCCTCTCTCTCCCTTCCGTTATAAAATTTTAATCCCTTTCCAATATTACGTGACATTTGAAATTATCTTTCCTCACATCGAATAAGAAAATATAACTCATAATCATATTACGAGTAATAATTATTAGAGACCATGCTGTTATCTTTTTCTAAAATTAAATAATCTTTAGACATAATATCTTAGGCATAATATCAAATCAATCATTTTATTTTATAATTTTTATTAGTAAAAGTTATGTTTAAAAAATTTTCAAGATTCAAAATTTTTATTATTAACGCAAAATTAAGTTATTTTTATAAAATATATTTTTAAATATAAAACTTTAAATATATAGGATACGTATGACGTTACATAGTCTTTACTTCCTTCATCCCCCCCCATCTCACCCTACCATTATAGAGTCTTTCAAGCTAATACACTGAAAAACAAGTCTGGTAATACTTACCACAGCCATTTGGTTAAACGTTTTAGCATATTATTTGGTAAATAGTAACCAATATGGTAAATGTTACTAAATGTGTGGTAATAATTACAAAATAATTCGTAACATAAATTTTTGATCTAGTCAAATCAATTAAATGATTTAATAAATAGTATTAAAAACATTAGTAATAGTTAATATCAAATAAAGTAATAATTACCAATTTGCATCTTTGAATGTTATCTTGGAAAAGAAAAGTGTCGTGAGCATGAAGCATCAGTTAGTTCAATGATTAAAGCAATCGTCCGGTAACTAAAAGATCCAGGTTCGATTCCCGACCTAGCAAACCGCGCTTTCGTCATGATTTGGTCATATTCACCTCTATATTTAGTAAATACTATTTCACTAAATGATTTAGTAACTATAACACAGGCTGGATAATTATTACCAGCAATTTTTCTCAGTGTAGACCCTCCCTTCTCGTAATGACGTAATTTGTTGAATAACCCTTAACGAGATAACAACACTATGATTACAAGTTATAAATATAGAATTGCTCTCTAAATTAACATATATGCGAGGGATTTAGATCTCGACTTATCTCTTCCCCTGGATATTCGTCTAGGGAGATGAACGAACTAGAGCAATAAGACCGCAAAAGGGGAGATCCCCAGTCCGGCGTACACGATTCTCAGCACAAAGAGGCGTTGTCCATTGAAAGAAATTCTCATAACGAATGTCACAGGTCGCATCGTGCGCGGGCCCCGCGACTCGTCGACGGCAACGGCGGCGTCGCCGTCGCCGTCGCCGCAGCCGCCACCGCTGCCTTTGTACTGGAAAAATCCGCACGTTAAATCTCACGCTTGTCAACTGGCGCCATTCTTCTTCTATCTGTTCCAGAGTCCGACGCCGCCGCAATACGTGTTCTGGTATCACAATAACCGGATGATAAACTACGACACCACGCGCGGCAGCGTGATCGTACAAACTGATCCAGGACCAACTCAGAGTCGGCTGACAATTCGCCAGGCGGTGGAGTCCGACACGGGCAATTACACGTGCAGCGCCTCCAACACCAAGCCGGCATCGATCTTCGTCTTCGTCACCGAAGGCAAGTATAAGCGATGTGTTTCGTTTAACACGGACGTCCTTAATCGATACAAGCCCTTTTCCCTTCACGGATGTCCCTGACGAGATCTCGCCCTTTCTCTCTCTCTCTCTCTCTCTTTCTTTTTCTCGACCAATACCAGCGACCGAGCCGGGAGAATTAAAACGCGAGAGCTTGCTCCGAATCGGACACGTTCGCGGTTTTTTCGATAATTATACAATCGCAACGGGATCCTATTTTTTGCCATTTTTAATTAAACTCGAAAGAAATTTCGAGTGTTTAACAATTGAGGTACTTCGTATCGAGATTTCTCGGAGATGCGGAGAAACATGAAATATCAATTTCTCGGGAGAAAAGTTGGTTCGATAACCCATCTACAAATCGCATTCTAGACCGTGTGAATTTGCAATGTAGGAAATCGTGTTATAATCAATCAATCTTCAGGCGAAAATAACATTTCGCAAGATTACCTAATTTCCTCGACTCCAGAGGTAGATTTATTTGTCGCTAACATGGCGGAACGATACCGCTTTAGGGTAGATTCTCCCTTCCTCAGCGCGACTGTTTCCGTTATTTCCGCGTTTCGCGCACGTGAACATACATGACACGACTGTATCTCTCGTGGCACGCACCCACGCACCCACGTACGCGCGTGGCGTGTACATGCACGGTGACATGCGCGAGTGTGAAAGTGAGCGACGAGCCTCTTCGGTCCTTCGACGATCGATCACTCGGCGGCCACCCTCCCATGTGTATATAGTATATAGCGCAGTTTAACCCCTTTCTAACGAGGGCCACTGACTGACGAAGAAGCCCAAGGCTCTTTCGGCAAAAAGCGTCCCCGTCGGCTTCGCTTCGTCGTCGAAAAAGCCCGCGCGTTCCGACGACTTTCACGACGAAAATCGCCCGCAATTTTCGATCCGCCCCGGATCGCCGTAATTGATGTGAAAGGATGAGGACGGAGCTCGCGAAAATCTTAATTGGATTACGAGAAAATCGGGGCGCCCGGAAGATTTGTCATACTAATGTACCGTGGATGCGCCTTGCCGCGTTTTTCATATATTAAACGCGTTCTACGCGATTCCTCCCGTTGCACGCGCGTGTACATTGTCATTCGCAGAGACAAATCCCCCGGCTCGATCGCAGTTACGACTGGACGCGCAATACGGTAATTATACGCGGCGGCTAATCACTCCGCACGCTCGTTTGCGAAATGAGCGCAAAATGGCACATTGAAGCGCTCTTGTACATCGGGGTTTTTAATGAAATACTGTCTAAACGAGCAAGGCTCGTCGCAGCATATTTCAGAGACGACGGTAAGCAAAAGAGTGAGAAATCACGAGGAATCGCACTCACCCTGTAATACATTCCGCCTCGATCGCCTCGATGTTGCGCGCCCCTTATTCGAACGCGAAATTGACCTAAGACGCCTCATACGGCGAAATAGCGTCTTGACGATATCAAACGAAAGGCTGTGCCGTAAAATCGGTATAGCTAGCCTCTTAGCCGGTCAATGGCATACAAAGCAAGCACACGAGGAGCCAGTCCATCGCCTGCGTGATAAACCGTTATACGAGCGTCCCTTCTGTTCCGCGAAGTACTAAGCTTTCAGGTTAAATTTTGAAGATATGGACTCCATTACGGGACACACACCGCCCTCAGAACCGACGGATTTCACGCGTGTGTGTTTGTGCGTGTGTGCCTTGTACGTATGTGTGTGTATGCATGTATACACGCGCGTTGCGGCGTCCGCCGCGTGCAGCCAGCCACCTTCACACGTGTGCGGCGCGCAACGCGCGGTCCGTAATTCACAGCCTCGAGAACATATGGGGCAACGCCTCGCCGTAAATTATGGTAAAAGTGTGCATGCGCCGCGTTTCGGAAGAGACACGTATCGCCGATGAATGTTGCAAATCTGGCGGTCCGCGCAACGCCGCGCACCATGAATTTTGATATTCGCGAGACAGGAAGAAGGATCCGCGGCCCGCTCGCTTTTTTCCCCGCCGACGGCGAATTTACGGCGGGATTACATCACAGGCGTGCGACCGGCGATGATATATCGATAGGCCGGGTCAAGGCGGCCGCGATATTATTAACGACGAGACTGCTGACGCAACATCCGGCCCAGGACAAATGTGGTCATCACCGAAGGCGCCGCGACGTCGTGAACGTTGGAGAGAGCCTCCGCGCGGCGAGATTGCGCTACATTACTCTGTGCGAACTTGCCTTCCCCCTTCAAGAAATTCCTTCCCACAACTGCCGTCTGCTTAATTAATTGTAACTGTTTGTTTGTCGAATTCTAATGGTTGTATAATGGAATTCTCCCCGCGTTAGGGTAAGTTCATATAGCTGCGCGACATCTGGAGGATGCTTCGCACTCTCTAAACGCCTTGGAATAAAATCCCACTGAAAACGAGCGAAAATTCGCTCGAAGCGATAGCGAAAGTATCGTCATATAGAATCGCAAAAACAAATATTTCACTTAAGCTTAGAATAGATTCTAACTTCATATGAGTGAATAAATGTTTCAATTGATTAGAGTGAAATGGTAGAACGGTGGAATATATCAAATTCACCCTTTAACTGCGAGAAAAATATTCACTTGGCGATTCGAAGAATTCGTATATGAACGAAAAATCACTCCAATTCGAGCGACTCGACTGTCATTCTATTTTTCGAGTAAAATTTCATTCCGAGAAATTTAAAGGGAACGAGGCGTTCAAAAGAATCGAAACAATAGCGATAGCGTGTTATTCAGTTCGATCGTAAAGTGAATGTATTTCGCCTTTACAACTGAAAATAGAATCTAATTCGAGGCATTTAATGCTAGAAGTCGAGAGGTTACGTCGAAGCGAGAAGGATGAGTGGATAATGAGACTAATCGTAAGATAATTTTTTGCTCGAGTTCGGGATGTATCTTTTGTGCGGTATAATTCTGCCAGAAAATATATATACAGGGTTCTCGTCGCGTCTATTAATACATCCCCTTAAAATCGTTCGCGCGCGTTTAACATCCACCCCGCGTTTCGCGTCGCGTTTATCGTGAAGCTCAGTCGGTTAATATCGCATCAGCGGCAAGAAGGCACTTCATGCCTTCGCTCACACTCGTGAAGCAAGATGGAAGATTAATTATTACACACACGCGATAACGAGATGAAATATCCGTGCGCCGCAGCGCGCCAACGATACCGTCTGCCAATCGCAATTTTTCAGTCGAGATTTTCGCAGATGGCGAAACGCCGCGAGAATCTCCCCTGGGACGACGAACGTTCATATTCTTACGTCGCGTTAATAACGAATTAATAACAGCACAGACATGGTTCTGAAGTATGAGGTACGGTTATACATATTCGGTATGAGCCGTACAATTATGTCTGTAAATATTGCCCGCGGGATTATTGCGCTTGCCGAGCAGTAGCTGCGTCCGCACGCGGCGGCGCGTGGCTGTAATGATGGATTGTCGTGACTACACCGGTTATTCCCGGGCCGGTTAACGCGTTGTTTCATCCGCGTGGTTATTTTGACCCAGGCACAGGGGACGGTGGGAGGAGAAGGAGGAGGGAGTGGTGGGGGAACGCCGCAAAATCCTTAATGAATATTGCAGAACTTGAGACAGCCGCTTTATCCGGCAAATTCCGCGAGCTACGCGCCACGACGACGGCGGAAGGGGAGGGAAGGACTACGTGTCGCGATAAATTATCTAAGCGCCGTGCCGCGCCGGGTAAATTGGCTTAGCGCGGCGATACTAAATCGCAATCTCGTTAAAGGTGGGCGGACACACCGTCGTGGAAGACGCGTTAAAGTGAGCTTCCGAACGACGACGACAACGACGACGACGACGCAACCACACGGCGATGTAGCCCACTCAGTTGTCATCGAGTCGTAAACGAGTGTTTGCATCTAACGCACATATATTGCGACCTTTGTCTTCCCCAGCGTGGCTCTAACCGCGAAAATTGCTCGTAAACTCTTATTTGCGCCTTTCGCAACAATTATAGCGCGTGCAAACTGCTCGCGTCGCCAGGATTCCGACGACGTCCTCGCGACGGTTATTCGGCGGACACTAAAAACACCGTAAACATAGGGAGTATCTTGTCTAACTTTTATATGGACGCAATTCTTAGATCTTGGTTAAGTTTACTTACGAGCGAATAATTTATGTGTGTATGTGTGCGCTGCGCGCATATGTGAACGCGCATAGCAATTTATAGAAAAATTATCTCGACTAAAAACAAAGGAAAATTGAAATAAGGAAAGAAGGAGCATTTCCCCCTCTCTCCTTTCAATTTTACAGGAAGGAAAAGAAACTAATAACGGGAAGGAAAATAAAATAATAAAAAGTCTTTTTCCGAGATCGTTTACAAAGTAAATAATGAAATAGGTTTATTGTGAAAGAATATCATCTTAGTACTAACGTTAATACCTGCGTAGATATCGACAACAGAACGGAATTATGGGAAACGACTTCCTCGATCGTAACAACGGCATAAAATTAACTTCCCAATACGCTGATTGTCGTAAATTTATAAGATCGTTTTTCTAAATGGCACGCGTACACTCCGCACTATGGCTCAAGAGGGCTTTCTTGATCCCCAAACCTCTTCGCGACATTAAGATAGACTTACAAAAAAACCCAAAAACAACCCAACTTTTTAGACACATTCTTGATGAATGCGAGGAGACCCGAATATTCCAGACGCGCGACGAGGAGATAAATCTATTTTCTTGCGCAAAATACGAAATAAAGTCTTTCCTCAGGACTGTTTATAAAGTAAGTAAGTAACGAAAGAGATGATAATATTCACATTAGGCGAACAATATTTATCCATCTTCATTGTTTCTCACTTTTATTTCTCTCTCTCCCCCTCATTTTTTATAGCCAATAATGCCGTATTTTTTGTTGTCAAATATTGATTTAAAGACCCGAGACTTCCTCTTAAACGGTTCTCGTTGCGAAAGATCGAAACATTAAATCTTCAGCGAGTTGTGTCAGCTGTTTGTCA